AAAGTGTTTAATCATAAAAATTAAATAAAAAATAATTTGTTAGCTAAAATAAGTTCATTTATAATTATATTATATAAAAATTCTGTTGTGATCACTTTTTAAGAATTAATTATAATAAAATTATTTGAGTATCATATTTCAATTATTGATGATTAGAAATTTGAATTTAAGATATTAAACATCACAAATCTATAAATCTATTTACTTTTAAATAAGATGTTGTATTATAATTAATAACATTCCTGTTGAAATCTTTTGTTTCTCTCCAACTTTTCAAAATACTTGTCAGCTTTTTCTTCATCCAAATTTCCCTCCGAAATGAATACCTGTTTAAATGCATTTATAACAGATGTTGGCATATTATCGGACCTCCTGCAAAAGAGTTACAATTAACAAATGCAGATACATAATAAATACAGGAATTGTCAAATTTTACTTGATATTAATTACCCTGACAAATAAACATATCCTTCACGTTCATGTATGATATGCCAAATTAAATGAGCATTTTCAGTGATCAAATCTTGTACATAAATCTTTTTGTCCTGTATGAAAATATAGAAAAGATTGCCAATTAGTCGATCTAATTAATAAAACCACGAGTTTTTTTTGAAGGTAGCCAACAAACCTGATCTCTTGAGAAGGCAATAAATATTTTAAGCTGTTGTGCATTTATATAATCTTCCCATTCGGACTTATAGAAATAGTCCTTTTCACGGTATCGGCATCCAAAAAAAAGATAATTTTCTTTGAAAGAGTCATTATTGTAACTTAATACTCAAATAGTCGATCAAAGTGTGTTGGAATTAAATTCATACCTGTTGCGCCTTGTAAAACACGCTCTTGTATAAAAGCGCGCATGATTGCAACCCCTGTACCTGTTGATCAATCACAAAATCGATCACAAAAAAATAGTAAAAAACTAACATACAAACTTATAATATTTACCTGGTCCTATTAATATAACCGGAGTAGATAATGATGTGGGTAGCCGCATTGAGCCTTTTGATATCTTTAATGGAATTCGAGAATCTATTTTCAATGAAAATAAAGGAATTTGATGGTGAGCTTATTTCGAGATGGAAATCGTATCAAATCATTAAATCACCTGTCAATAAACCGGCCAACCACTTGGTACATACACCACGTCGTGGTTCATGCATTCGCGTCTTATATTTTACAATGGCGACAGTTAAATGAATGCGTCGTGGATAAGATTGTGAAGATGATGATATTGAAAATTGACGAGGCTGTATTTCTGGAAAAAGATCTAAAATATAGTCATATGGTATTTTGGCCGATGGGAAATCTTGGAGAACTTCCACAATTGTGCGTCGGACTCGTTGATTATACGCGTATAAATCGTCCTATTCATAAAGTTTATCATTATATTTGGGAAACCAAAATCATATGACTTAATAGTTTATAAGAAATATCTGTTACCTGCCCTTCCGGACTACAAAATTCTCTTAGTTTTTCGGTATGATCTTCATTTGTAGTAAAGAACGCCAGCATTTCAAAAAAAGATCTTCGTGGAGTGCTGAAAATATCAAGGTAATTTTCAAACAGTTTCCGTAGCGTAAGCACTTGTTCCCAATGCACGGGTACTTTGCGGTCTGTAATAAGCCAAAAATTTACTCTAAATTGAGGAATTCATATTTAGGATAAAAAAATAAAACTTACCTTCTTGGTTTGGGATTAAGACAAATGGGTCATCTGCGATATCTACCCAATCCATCATTTTGATAAATTCCTCTACTTCTTCAGACAAATTCTTAGGTCTAAATACAGCAACATCTCCTGGTTTATAACTAGCACGCGTTATTTATAGCTTCCCTTATCATAATATAATCAAAATTGAATGTTAATTAACATTGCTTACTTTAATGCTAGATCATTAACATTATTATCATCATCATCCTCAAATTCCAACTCCATATGCCTAACATCCTGAAAGTGATCATGAGACGTAATTCTTTCGTTCTTTAGAACACGTGCAAAGAATTCTCCATCACTAAGGATCGTTTTAGTTAACGATAAGCTATTGCTAGAATCATCTTTTATGAATTGAATCCTGAAACTTGGGGGTAACGTGAGATAATTAAGGCGTAATAAGAAATGCAGAAATTTAATAATAGTCTGCGTGAGAATCAGTAAAGGATATAATACATCTGACGGTATAATTTCCATTCCAGATGGTAATGGAAATTCATTCATTAAAACTTTCCATAATCCTGATAGCCAAGGATCAAGTGCTCCATCGTAGCTATCCAATTTATTTGAGCATGCATAATGAATTAAGATTAGCTTTCTTAAGAGCACGTGTATATATTTAGAAAACTAACCCAAGGTAATGTTGATCATCTCCATCACCACGTGGATGTATGCTTTGGGCGCCTAGTTGTATAAGACGTTTATAAAGTTTTTTGGCGGGCCAATTATACCTTTTTAATATGATAAAACCAAATATTTTATTCATTCTCGTATATCGTGTCATTTAAAACCGTAATAACAAAAATATTAATATGGATGGATATTGGACACACCTCAAATATGAGGAATCCCCTAGTCCAAAAACGGTAAATTTCAAATGACTCAGAATATCATTGGGTAAATTTTTTCGCAATAAAAATTTCCAGAATTTCTACGAGACAAAGAAATAATAAATTTAATTTAAACTCATCACATCAAGCTATAAAATTCTCTATTTTATCTGGGTTAGCAATATTTGTACATACTTTCATATTGTCAGGTTCTTCACCTTGACCAGTGGTAGAACATACGAAAACGACTAGTGACTCATTTATCAAATTGGCCTACATACTCACAGACACAAAAGTAAATCTTTAGAACTTTTTATTTTTATTATTAAGTCTTTTTCTTTTGCTAATAAATCGATTAAAAAAGAATTGGTTTTCATTATAATATTTGAAGCACTCTGGTAAATTAAATGCGCCTACCTTATCATAAACGTCCATTGCAAGAACACGTGTTTTGAAAAGACGCCTTCTTGCTTCTCTTCCTATTCTTTCAGCTACATCTTGACCACAACCTGTCTGGCTTCCAAAGAGAATTAATATTTCGCGACTATCTAGAGGCGATTCATTCTTCGCCTCATCTATTATTTGATTTTTTGTGGGAATTGACATTCGAAAGGTAGAAAATAAAAAAATATCCGAAGATCTTCTGTCTCTTACATAATATTACATGGTGTAACCAACACATATACAATACCGATACGTAGTTATCATTGATTCATTGTTATCTACTACTTTGCTATATATCAATTAGATTAAACTTTATAGCGCGCTGGATTTTTACAATGAGCAATCTCGACAGTATCCTTTTATTCTCAGTTCTCGAATTTTAAGTGATTCTTATTTTGTCTTTACATTATTAACTTGTAACTATTCACCCAGAGAGTTTATTTCAACTTAAAGTAAGTTAATTCCAATGAATTCTCACAATGAATATATTCGTTATTTTAATCAATTTACGTGAATTCATACTTTATTAGTTCACGGCAAAGCAATTATCTCGACAAGCGAAAAAAGCGAGCAAAGACGAAGAAGCCGAAAAATCAAAACTGAAAAAAGTAAAGAAAAAAGCTAGCTTTTAAAACATTTATTTCTGCTCAAGTCTTACTACTTTTTAAAAGACACAGATAAAAAGATTATGAAATTAATTTGATCATTAATAAAAGGCCATTCAACAAGGAAACCTTGAAGGAGCACGTATATACGCATCAAACGCCATTCGTAAAAAGAATGAATCGCTAAATCTTTTGAGATTATCGTCAAGAATTGATGCAGTTTCTAGCCGCGTTCAAACTGCAGTAACAATGCAAAAGGTAAAAGTGAACATCTATACTTCTTCCCTTCGCGACGAGACGAAAGGAAATATTATCATTAGAGTTTGCGTCGTAACTTTTCTTAGTATATGCTAATAAGGTAACAGGATCGATGGCGAGTGTAGTAAAAGGCATGGATAAAGCAATGGAATCAATGAACCTTGAAAAGGTGAAATTTCTTTAATAATAATTCAAATCTCGGTATATGATGAGATAACCAATAAGTAATTGTTAAATTATTGCCTTTTAAGATTTCTATGGTAATGGATAAATTCGAATCTCAATTTGAAGATATCGATGTTCAAACACAATATATGGAAGGCGCCATGGGAAACACAACAGCAATGAGCACCCCGCAAGAAGAAGTAGATTTATTAATGCAGCAGGTTGCTGACGAACACGGATTAGAGCTCAATCATGAGCTTGGCGAAGCAGCACCGAGTACTATTCTCGGCTCTGCGGAAAAAGGAAATAAAGAGGATGAAGAATTGACGGAAAGGTATTTCGTGTATATTATCATAATATAGAATTCTTTTCTAACGAATGATTTTCTTTAAAATATTAGATTGAAAGCCCTAAGAAACATTTGACTGTCTCTATTATATTAAGACATTAAAAACCACATATTTATAGAAAATTGATTATTATTCTATCTGAAGCAACGATAATAATATTAGATAGATTCTTGGTTTCATTTTGTCATAGTTTTAATTAAGACATTCATGGATGGATCTAACAAATCCATCTTGTATTGATTGGTTCCAGGAATTTGCTTGAAAATAATATTATTGACAGGAAATATATTAGAAACCATTTGCTGCCATGTTCTTTACTATCAATAATAATGACGCGACTTGTATTAATTTCACAGAACTTTAATCAAAATAAGATAAATTCTATACGTGACTTGAAAAAAAAGAAAATCTCAAAAAAATGCTTTTTTCTGAATTCCATTTTAAATTAAAATTCTGGTTATAAAACTAAATAGTTTTAAAGTTTAATAACTTTTTTAAATTATCTAAATATAAATATATTAATAATCTAAATAATAAATATAATTTAAATATATTAATATAATTTATTTATATTAATTTATTTCTTATTTTTTTATTATTTTTTCTTTTTATTAGTTTTTTTATATTAATATAATTTATTTATAATAATATATTCTAAATATATTTTTTTTCTTATTTTTTAAAAATTTCTAAAGTTCAAATTTTTTATTAATTTCTAAATTAATTAGAACTTTAGATTTTTTATTTATTTTTTATATATTATTTTATATTATATTATATTAATAAAATTTTTTATTAAAAAATTATAATTGAAAATAAGAAAAATAATTATAATTAATTGAAATAATCTATTTATTTTTTTAAATATTTATAATATTATTACCTTTTTGGTGCGAGTTCTGAGAGAGGGCGAGTATTAAATCTAATATTATAAAAACACGTGATAAAAATGTCCACGTATTTAAAATGATATTTGGGAGAGTCTTTAAAAGATTTATTAATAAGAATATTTTTACTTATTATTTCAAAGCTAATCTAAAGGTAGGTAATGATAGTGTTCTTGTTGTAACTAGCTAGAATATAGCCCAATTCCAATATGTAATTTCAAGACAGATGTAATAATCAGTTTATTAACAAGACGAATTAATAGATCTTAAT